CCACGGGCTGGGGCAGAGCCCTTTTCGGAGCTCTGTATTTTTATGGGTAAAATACATACCGGAGGGGCCGGAGGCTGCCGGGTCCCTGCTGCTGGGAGCAGGTGAGGTTAGCTAGAGCCATGTCTGGTGCTGCCCCCCGGCAGGAGCTCCTTGCTGCAAAACAGCTTGCTGCAAGCAGCACACTGTGAGACTGTTTATTTTTAAACTCCCAGAGGATTTATATTCTCGAAGAACCAGAAAGACAGTAGCTGCTTATATGACTTACTGGAATAGCTGAGGGTTGGGTGTAAGCGTTAAAAACAAACTTGACCTTTGAAAGAGATCTCAGCCAGTGCTCCCATGGGTGGGACAGTGCCCCGGCAGGCGTGAGGAGGAATGCCTCTTGCAGCTGGAGCATCCTGGGCTGCCGGCTCCACGTCTTCCTCGTCCTGCTCCTTGGGACGTGGAGCCGTTCAGCCGGGTGATTGTTGCTCACAGCGGGTGAAGAGCCAGCTGCACGGATAAAACCAGTGCTCCTCGGTCGCCTGCCGCACGGGTTGCATTTTGTCTCACTTATTCTGAATGCAGGTGTTGAATATATACTGACTCAAAAAACTTTTCCGTAGGCGGAACAACAGTTAGTTGATTGCGCTCAGGCTTTTAACAACCACGGCTGCAGTGGGTAAGTAATATAAAGAATGGAAATGAGAGTATCTTAGGTTCCATGATTGACAGCCTTCCTTAAGATTTAGTATTGGGATCCTTCCAGATCTTGGAATGGTTTTTGTTTCCCCTTGGCTGAGACATGTCAGGGAAAACAGTTTTGGGTTTGGTTTGCTTATTTTAATTTCACCCTCCCTAGATGTTAGAATGTTTCACTCAGTCTCCAGCATTTCCTAACCTCTGTTGTTCCTCTTGTTTATTAGTTTTTCTTCTGATATTTGATTTGTTACAATGTCTTCTGATATCGCAGTCACGGGTGCTACATAGCTAGGCTTTAACATGCTCAGGGAAAACAAGGGGAATTTTATCTGTTGCTCTGCTCATGGGTCACGCGCATCTCATGGTGCTTTAAGGAACCCACAGAAACCTCTGCTTCCCCTTTGGTAAATTCCTACTGGCATTGCTAGAGAAGGCAGAAAATAAAGCTTTCTGAAATCTTATGTTTTCTGTAAGATAAGCAGTCCCTGAGGAACGTTCAGAGAGCTGAGCAAAACCACTCTTGGTGCTTTTTATTTTTCTCATGACTCCTCCTTAGTCTGCTCTTTGTGACCACGCCCTGATCACGCTCCTCTTTTCTTCCTTCTGCGAGATGTTCTCCCCAGAGGTGGCCGAGGAAGGAAGCAGCTGCTTGCTGAAGATGTGGGTCCCTTATCCTCCCCTGTGCCGTGTAGCTGGGGACCCCAGCCAGGCTGGGCAGAGGTCACGGAAAAACACCTTTCAGTGTGCGAGGCTGCAGAGCTGAGCTGGCACAGTTGGTGCTGCGTGGGCGAGGTGGCCTCATGCCTTCGGGGCTCCTGTGTTGGCGTTTTCCCCTGGGGATTAGGCAGTCCTGAGAATGAGGTCTTCCCATGCCTGTGTAGGACCGTGCCAAACAGCATGATGGGCCAGGCCAGGAGTCCCAGACAGGGAGATATTGCAGGAACAGACTGGAGTTTATGCCTTTAGAGGGTCTGGGATACACACTGTCCTTCCCTTTCCCCCGCAGTTTGCGGGAACGGTCTGTAGGACTGGGGGGGAAGGTTGGTGGCTTTGCTCTGCAGAAGCTGCAGCGTTACTGTCCTAATTAATCTGCATTCTGGCTGTGTTGTCTTGCAGGGGCCTGCCAAGCCAAGCCTTTGAATACATACTGTATAACAAAGGGCTCATGGGGGAGGACACCTACCCGTACCGGGCCAAGGTATTTCCAGTGCAGCTCAGATGCGTTTCTGCAGCGGCAGAGCAGGGTCCAGAGCAGGCTCTAACACCGGTTCCTTTCTGTCTGCACAGAATGGCACGTGTAAGTTCCAGCCGGAGAAGGCTATTGCGTTTGTCAAGGATGTTATCAATATCACGCAGGTAAGGCCGCAAGGGTTATGTTTCCAAACTTCCAGGGCTGTGCCAAGCCCGACCTGGAAGGTGCTCAGATGCCCCAAGGTGTGCCGGGCTCTGCAGTGCAAGCTGCAGCCTGCTTGCTCTTTGGAGTGGAGCGAGCCGCTGGCATTGCACATTCCTCGTCTCCTGCGCACCGCTGACACCCTTTTCTGAAGGTGGCACCAATGAAGTGCTGTAGTCGAAATAGAGGCACTAGGTCTCTGCCTGCTTTCCGCAGTGGGTGCACCTCCAGACTGTAAGAAAGTCTTGGTTCTTGTCTTTCAATGCAAGCAGCACTTGTTTCCTTGTTGTCCTGGTTTCAGCTGTGATAGAGTTAATTTTCTTCCTAGTAGCTGGTACAGTGCTGTGTTTTGGGTTCAGTATGAGAATAATGTTGCTAACACACTGATGTTTTAGTTGTTGCTAAGCAGTGCTTACACTAGTCAAGGACTTTTCAGCTTCTTATGCCCTGCCAGTGAGAAGCTGGGAGGGGGCACAGCCAGGACAGCTGACCCCAACTGGCCACAGGGATATTCCATACCATGGGACGTCATGCTCAGTATATAAGCTGGGGGGAGTTGGCTGGGGGGCAGTGACCGCTGCTCGGGAACTGGCTGGGCGTCAGTCGGCAGGTGGTGAGCAATTGCATTGTGCATTCACTTATTTTGTATATTCTTTTATCATTATTATTATTATTCTAATCATTATTTTCCCTTCCTTTTCTGTCCTATTAAACTGTCTTTATCTCAACCCACGAATTTTAAGTTTTTTTCCCGATTCTCTCCCCCATCCGACTCTGGGGGGAGTGAGCGAATGGCTGTGTGGTGATAGCTGCCTGCTAGGTTAAACCACAAGACTTGTCTGCAAGCAGAAAGCCAGGGTTAGCCATCCCCGCTGTGCTCTGACTGCTGGTCCGGGGATCCTGACTGGTCCCAGTGTCGTCAGGAGATAAATGATCCTCTTCTTGCAGTATGACGAGGATGGCATGGTAGAAGCTGTGGGGAAGTACAACCCGGTGAGCTTTGCATTTGAGGTGACGGGCAACTTCATGTACTACAGAAAAGGAGTCTATTCAAAGTGAGTATTTCTGAACCTGGGAGGTGAGGGTGAGGGGAAGGTGTAAGGCTGGAACCAGTTGCATCCCCATTTCTCCTGCTTTGTGGCACTGGACGGAGTGACCCTGGACTGCATTCTTGCATTTTCTTTTAAACAGAAAATAGCAAACATAAGTAAACTGAGCCTTGATATACTGATTTCCCAGGGGGATGGGAGTGCAGCACGGGGAAGAGGGTACAGCGTGCTTGCAGCCAATTTATTGCTAGGAGCCAGTCCAAGCTGAAGACCAGACTGTATCTGGAACGAAACTCAGCGAGTCAGTGAGCTCGGGAGATCCTCCTGCAGCCCTGCCGCAGAGCTGGGGGAAGCCTGTCCCAGGGCTGATGTGTGTGTCTGTGTGCCTGAGTTGCGGATGGCGGCAGGGTCACCCAGGTGTTGTCGCTGTGTGTCTGGTTTACTTAGGGTAAGCCCTAACCACAGTAAGTTTCTGTGGGACTCAGGCGGCTCTTCCAGTGCTAGACCTCGGAGGGGTGGTAGTGAGCAGTGCTGCTGCCTTCACGGTGCCCTACACCTGAGCTGGTGCGTTTGCAGGTTGCGTCATTAAGGCAGGGGTCCCTGCATCGCTGTTCTCCACAGGGCGGGCAGGTCCCTGAGCACCTCGTGCCAATCCCTCTCTGCAGCTGGACATGTAAGAAAAGTAGCAGAGATGAAAAATTAGTTTGAGACATAAGGGACCTAGCAGGAAAAGGTCTCAAGTGTTGTGTCAGCTCTACAGCCAAGGCACAAAGCTACTTAAAAGGATGATTATTATATTTTGGAAAGACTATGGAAACTAACTGTGGCAGGATAGATTTCTATTAAGGAAGAAATGGGAAAAGTGCATGTTTGGAGAGAACTAGAAAAATACTTTCACGTAATGAATCCTCGCTCATGTAGAACTGCAGGGAAAATTAAACTAAGAGTCTAAGCATGAGTGATCTGCCCCAGGGAGCAGCAAGGGAAAGA